AGCAGCCGCACAGTTACGATAATCAGTGCCATGACGTTCAACCGTTTGACATGTAGACGTGCAGCAAGCTATCAGCTGGACTACTCAAAACTCCAACACATGGTTGCCACGAGGCTTCAACGGCATGGCAGGACGCCTACAACGGAAAAAAAATAAGCACTGTATTATACGGATGTGTAGTGTATGATGAAGCAATACGAAGGTATACGAATGCGAAATAAAAAATATACTGAGGCACACTAAGAGATGTAGATGCGAAAAATGCTACACGAATGGGGTGCTGAGGCAAGTAAATTGTTCAGCTTCTATGGGTAGATAAGGGATAGCGATAAAACACAACGAGTGGGCGAGCAAGCTCGCCAGATAATAATTAATAAAAGAGCGACGGTCGAAAGGAAGGTGAAGATGATGGCAAGTGGATAAAGGGTATCAAAGTATGTACAGAGAAAACAACAGGGGATGGATCCAGGATAGTCGGTCGCAAAAAGAATCGAGGGGAAAAAGAAAACTAGCAATTACATACACGAAAAAAAAGGTGAAAGGTTCCCGGCGAATGAAGATGATGAATTAGAAGATTAGCGAGTCAGCGAGGGAGCGTACCGCGAAGAGGCGGTAGTGTATGGCGTTCGAGTCGCGCTCCGTGAAGGAGCGCGGAGGGGAGGATCAGGACTACCAGGCGGGAGCCAGATTTGATGAATTTCTCCCTTCTCCTCCGACGTCGAACGCATCATTTTTGGTGGCGCTGGAGTAGACAGCCTGCGCGGTTTTGTTGGGATGGGAGGTGGCGCTGGGGTTGACATATTCCGCATTGGGCTAGGTGTCTGGGTCATTGAGCGCAGAGTGTGTACTGCGGATACCGCAGGGGTAAATGGTCGAACCATTGGAGTTTGGGTCCTGGGAAGAGGAGGCGCAGGAGTCTGGGTCCTCAAGAGAGGAGTTGGTGTCGGTGCAGGCGTATAAGTTCGTGAAGGCGAAGGCGTAGCAGGCGTGGTTGGTCGTGAAGACATCGAGGTGGATCTCTGATGTAAAGAGTTGAATCGTGAAATTGAAGGCGACTGGGACGATGCAGACGTATATGGAGTGGGAGACGTCGGTGGCGTCGGTGATGTTGCAGACTGACGAACATCCACGGGAATACCTAGTGATGCTTTCAATTTGTTGAGTTCTCCACAAACCGTCTGGTATTCCATCGCCTTGGCTGTGTATTGTTGGCGCTGAGAAATATTGTTAGTAAGATTTTGATGTGGACTGAGGTATGACTCACTTGTCTGATTAGAAATAATAAAAAAACGAAACGGTCAACAAAATGGCTAACGATGCGTAATGGAATCTACACATACTTTCTTAGTTCTGTTTCTATTTTTTCATTGTTTAATTTGAGTTCGTCGATCCTAGCATTGAGGTTGGCTTCGGCGATTTTCATGTTCCTACTGGAATCAGAATGGGCTTGGTGATTCATAAGAATGGCCCGCAGGAGCGCGGAGCTTAGAAGAAGCGAGGTCTGAACCGTAATAAGCGACCATATGTCGGGCAAGACAAAGGAAAGGCATACCTGATCGGACGAATCAGACTTCAGCCATTCATCGAGTTCCTTGTAGAGAAGAGCGACTTCTTCTACGGAACATTTTTTTTGGGCGACCCTCGCTACTCTCTCCTCGAATGTCCGAGCTTCCGTTCGGGAACCGGAAGATCGTTCCGTCTTGCGAGCCCACATAGTGGCGAAGTCGGTCTGACTAGGCTCTACGTGATATGCGGGTACGCGCCGTGGTGTACTCCATCCACTTGAAGGATGATTGAAATCCATTCGAATGATTCGAACGGAGTCACTTGTGAAATTCTCGCGGCAAAAAGGACAGACGGGTGTGAGGCGAGAGGGTGTCTTTTCGACTATGGTACTGCAGCAACTCGCGCATAGGACGTGTCCTGTTTAGAAAAGGGAAAAAAAAGAGTAATAAGAAATTTTTCACATGCCCCTCAAGGATAAAATCTGACTTACCACAAGGTATCGAATGAGGTTGGCATTGGTGACCATATTCCTCAGCGCACACGTCGCAAGCAGATCCGGGAGTAAGAGTTAGCATTAGACCAGCCAGCGAAAAGCACCTCTAGGGTGGTGGAAGAAAAGCGAAAGTTAACAGGGCGAAGGGGAAAAAAATTCGCTTGAAACGATCATGGATATATAGCACAATGGCTTTAAGTCCATATTAGGAAATAACGGTACAAACAAACAACTCTCGGGGGCTTCATTCATACATGCGTTTTTAATCCCTTTCAACCACCTTCCACTAGATTAATCTCGGAACTTCTTCCCCTTTCTATCCGAGAACCTCCAGCTTCCAGTTTTCACCAGGTCTTCACCAATATCCCTCCTCTTCAAATACTCCTGATTTAGGGTTAAGGGCAATCCTACCTCGTGTTTTGACGAGCTCGAATCACTTTTGATTGTTTGAGACGTCCCAATGCAGCTGTCTGTCAGGAACAGCTTGGAATCTTTTTTGATGCGCTCTCATAGGCAGGGAAATTAGCCCCAATTGGGAAAGAATCGCTGGGAAAGGACTCTTTCAAGCATCACAACAATCGCAATGATTAAGTATATGTATGTACCCTGCATCATAGGCGGTGAACATCCGCAGACATGTTCCGCGGCATCAGCTTGTGGTGTACAAAAGAATCGACAAAAAAAAACAAGAACAAAAAACAAAACAAGAAAGACTCTCGACTGTCTTTACCTAATGCGGCTAGATCTTTTTCTCCACCAACCTTGTAAGTATGATGAGGTTGTCCGCGTCAGGCTTCAACAAGATGCCCACCTTGTTGTCTCGCTACTACTCTCTCGCTAGACCGGTTTATCGTACAGGATGACAATGCATTGACCGCATTGTATTGCGCTTTTTCATCGATAATCACCTCAAGTTTGGTCGTTTCTGGACACATTTCAGAAGTCGATCTCTACACTCGTTTGCATAAATCGATCGGGGAGACACTTGGTCACAAACGGGATCTGGGATGCGTGGAACTTCATGACGATCAGATCTTATCGTATCGGGGTAGCTCATTTCCAGTCATTTCCTCTCATTTCCTGTTTGAATTTTTGTCCAGGGCACGCACAGCACAATTTTGCTGATCGGCATACTGGGCAACGTTCCATAAATGATGTATGGACATACATATAATCTTACGAACCCGCGCAATCTTCTCGCAGTCAAACTACGCAATTGACCTCATCTGACTCTCGCAACTGAGCGTCAAAAACCCCTCATATGATGTGGTTTATCTCAATGCCTCGAGGGCCAAGGAACTACTACTGCGAGTCGGGACTTGGTACACCAAAACCAGTTATCTTCCCTGCATACGCCTACGTTTTCTAAACGAATATCAGCCATGTGTTTACAATGGGCAGAGGGCGCGTCCTACGAGTATACTTTAGGAAGGAGACTTGGAAGACATGCTTTGCACACGAGGCTTATCTTGGGATCGTAATCAGAACCAATTGGCGCCACATACCTTTTGCCGTCTTTTCTTTTTGAAATGCGAGAATATATGGGTGCGCAAATGTTTGCAAATGTCATTGATCGTCTACTTTAGTTGAAGATACAGTTGCAGTGCTGCCCTATTAGAGGTGTAAGTGCACCTCGTTATCTCTATTCTTCGGAAGATAAGGGCCTCAACTGCTGGTTTACAGCCGGATTACACAGACACGCGGCACAGCAGGCCTATCAAGCGAATACAGAGCCTTATTAGCAGTATCTGAACTGAGGAACCAACGAAAAACACGGCACCGACACTTGGGTTGGGCAAAGGGTATCGACTTCTCGTATCAGGAATGAGGAAACGCGTAACGTCGAATGTCCGGATCCCTCGCCCATATGGCTATTTTGGACGCTTTCTTACCCACGAAACATGCTTCAGTCCGGCAACTCTGGAATAAGACTGAACCCTTTGCAGGATAAATACGTCAACTCCGTCAAAACTACGCTTAGAAGCATCTACGTCGAAATTTTGAGTCGCACCTTCGGACGATGAGTCCGTGGCATTATAGTGGGATTCTTATGTCTCTGTTTCTTCGTAGAACCGTAGAAAGGTGTGCGTGGCAATTCAGAATTTCTGTGAAAGCTTGTGAGATAATTACACAGCGGATTGGAAACCCACTGCCCAAGGCTGCCGGCAAATTTCTGCGTCCCTGACAAGCCCTGAAACTCCTGGTCGACGGTTTATGCTGGATTTATGCGCCAAGATCACCTAGATACTGCCGACTAGCCCCAAAAAGGCCAAACGTCGGTGCCACATTTCGCTCAAATCACAGGGGCCGCCTCCGTTAAATTTTTTGCAGAATAAGCCTTATCGAGAGTTCTGGTTGGAGTCCTGGCGAGGTCCTGGCAGGACTAAGTAAGCCAATTGCCATCTTGCGTCATCCGATCGAACTCTCTCCATTTTTCACTTCGAAACTTGAAGCTTGAAGCTCAGAACTTATATGGCTACATGGAGTTGATTTGCGGCGACAAGGGACCAACTCACTATGTACCTGGATAAACTTCGGCAAATGCCCTCATGCAGCAATTTGTGTTATCATGTGCTGTCCCTGTGTAACCGTGAAATACACGTTGAGGCATCATCCAGACTGGTCGATTTTCTCCATTCTGCTTCTATATGGTTGCCAGGAGTTTTCTTATCGTCTACAGGAGACATGGCCACCAAAAAAACACTCTGCTGCAGCATTCCCCTCTAGCCTGACATAGTTTCTCGATTCCCAAGATTGGTAGACGCCACATGAGCTCAAGGGCATTTCTGGGAACCGCTCGTATATTCCGATCTTTGCTGCACATGGATGATCCTCCACCACGTCTGCCTGAAACGATACAAATATGTTGGGGGTATGCTCAGGCTCATATACATATTAACCTAACTTTTTTCATCCAGGCAACGTTACAGATGTGAGATGCTGAACTGCTGGTCCATATGAAACTGAAATGGTGTGCCACGATGATATTCCCAAGCATAATGGGGTCTTGGCACAGTGGTAGCGCGCATGCTTCGCATTCGTGAATTGCATGAGGTCGTGAGTTCAATCCTCACAGGCTCCAATCTTCTTAAGCTTTTTTAATGATCGATATGGTGGCCTGATGACCCGGCTGGTCACCCGCGGTTGTCCATCATGTCATTACCCATGCCTATTCTTTGACGACCAACTTCGATCTCTGAGCAAAAAAAAGGGAGATACTCGACACAGTGACGAACTCGCGTCGATATGAGGTTTTGGAACCCATTGAAACCTCCTCCAGCGCCTCCTGCGTTTGGGGCAGGCAAGGTATTACCAGAAGACAGTGCATCGTATGTTCTCTCGTTACTGCACGACGCGTACCTTGAGAAGACTCTCGCAGATACCTTTCAAAACTTATCTTCCACTGGGTTGTTCCGTTCATGGACGTAGGCTTTTCGCGTCCCATAATGAAGGAAGGCCCGTCAAAGTTCAAATTCTTCACGAATTTCAACTGAATTGAAGCCAACAGACCTGTGGGAGCTTCCTCAGGACAAATTGACCTCGTCGGTGACTGATGCCATCGAGGCCAACTTTTACTCGCGATGCGAACCAGACAAACGTCCCCGATTCATGCAGACCGAATCATCGACCACATCAAGTGAGAAAGAATACGTCGACACCGACAAACCCCATCCCACTACCCTTAAATCGGACACCAACAAGAAAAAAGTCAAATATGACTCATCCCTCTTTCGCGCACTGGTCAAAACTTTTGCATGGCGAATATGGTGGGCGGGATTCTTCAAACTATGTGGTGGTCAGTGAAAGTCTTGATCGGATCCATACCTTGCTCCCGAAGATCACTTGCTCTAGATACCCTTAGAACGACCACACCTCTCGTTTCAAAAGTATTGCTCACCTGGCTCACAAACGCGTATGTATACCATCGACTCTCGGAGGAGGAGAAGGCTTCTGGACAATTCAAGCAGCCTAAAGGACTTGGATATGGCATTGGACTCGCTTTTGCTCTCTTCGCTATGCAAGGTACGTTTATCTTCGGGATCTATCTCTATTGGCGCTTAACAATGACTCCGTTGCCAAAAGAAATTGCTAGTTTGGTGCGTGTTGGATATTGTATGCAATCTATGTGTGCTCATGTCGATGAATTCAGTTGAACAACCACTATTTTCAAGTCAGTCAGGCGAATGGATTGCTTCTTAGAACTTCGGTGCGTAGAATAAGTTTCTATCTAATTTTCTTGTTCGATCTTTTCATCCAGCTCATCGGCATAGTGTTTCGAAAATCACTACGACTTTCTGGCCGCGCCAAAATAGAACACAGTGTAGGAAAGATTACGACCATGATATCAGCAGACGCCACCAGACTAGATCGTTTCACCAATGCAGGGCCGAAGTACGCTCATCCACTGTTCTCGCATTGCTACCAACTTAACTTCTGTAGCCTTTGGGTTTCACCAATACAGATAGCTATTGGAATTGGACTCCTTTTGGGTATTGTGCGTTCGTTTCATTTTCTATTTTTCTCCCTAATTTCATAACTATCTTTCAGCTTGGTTATTCAGCTCTTGTTGGACTTGGTGTACGTTTCCGGATAAGGTTTCTGAAAAATCTGGTCTAATCTTGCTATGCATCGCTTAGGTCCTTATCATCGGATTTCCTCTCCAGTTTATTCTTGTTAAAATCATGTACGCACAACGTTTGAAGGCAGTAGGCATCACCGACAAGCGCATTCGACTCACCACCGAAGTATGTGCGGTAACCCTTTGAGAAGAAGCTATCTAATTTTTGTCCTTCAACCTGTCCAGGTATTGCAAGGCATTCGATTGATCAAATTCAATGCATGGGAAAATTTCTACATCGATAAATTGGGGGTTCTGAGGTCGCGAGAGCTCAAGGCAGTGAGAAAAGCCACGTACGTTTCAGCTCAACCCTTGTGGCATCCTTCAGTGCTAACCTGCTGTCTTAGACTTGCTCGCTCAGTTCTGCTTGCTATCGTCATATTCATACCCATCTTAGCGGCCATTTTATCATTCGTACGAACCCATCGATTCAGTATGAGCCCCAAACCGACTGACCGTGATAGATTACATACGCCCTTAGCGGACACGACTTGAGCGTTGCAGTTATCTTCTCGTCCCTTCAGCTTTTCAACGTACATTCGTCCAATGTTTGCACCGTCCTGCGTCTCACTGACCCGGTTTGGTATACAGGTAATTCGGCAGCCCCTGCTCATGTTCCCTTTCGTGTTATCTGCTTTGACCGATGCTCTTGTGGGGCTTCGGCGCATATCGCAATACTTGATTGCAGAAGAAATGGCGGAACCGTATCTGATCGATTACGAGCAGAAAACGGCTGTCACGGTAGATGCAGACTTTACATGGGAGACTGCTGGAAAGCTGCATGGAGATCGTTTCGGATCAAGTAAGAAGGAGGCGAAAGGAAAGAAGGTAAAAGGAAAGGGAACGATTGCTTCGAAAGCGCCCGCAAAGGCAGGACCTATCCTTCCTACAAGCGCAACGCCCGATAGCGCTATAGAAAAAAAAGAGGAAGAAGAAAAGCCCTTTGAACTGAAGGATCTGAAGTTCAGTGTGCCGAAGGGTTCTTTCGTCGCGATTGTTGGACGGGTTGGGTCAGGAAAGGTGATTTTCGACCATCACTGCGCCTTCATCCACTGACGTCCATTAGAGCTCTGTACTCCAAGCTCTAATTGGGGAAATGCGAAAAACCAGAGGAGAGGTACAGACGTGTCCTTAGGCTTTGATCATACGCTAAACAACAACCCGTCCCTCATATAGGTTCAATTCGGCGGCGACGTTGCATATGTGCCCCAAACGGCATGGATTCGCAATGCAACCCTGCGTGAAAATGTACTGTTCGGTTTGGATGATGATGGCGATAGGTAGCTATAGGTAGAGTTTCCTTGCTTATGTTTGTTGCTAACCTTTCCCCCAATTTCCAGATTTCGCGACGTCATTCGAGCATGTAGCCTCGAGCCAGATCTCAAAATGCTTCCTCATGCAGAAAACACGGAAATTGGAGAAAAGGGTATCAATTTGAGCGGTCAGTGATTTCCTGAAGGTTTGTCATCCTCACTGAAAGTTTAATGCAGGTGGTCAAAAGGTAAATTTCATCTAATTTGTTATACGTGTACTTACTTTTGAAGGCCCGCGTTTCGCTCGCTCGTGCCGCTTATTCTCACTCCGATGTTGTTCTCCTCGACGATCCATTATCTGCCGTAGATGCATATGTCGGCAAGTCGATTCTGGAACAGTGCATCTTGACTGGTCCACTCGCCAATCGCACTCGAATTTTGGTTACTCATGCGTTGCATGTACTTGACAAGACCGACCATATCTTTGTCATGGATAATGGCGTGATAACTGAGCAGGGAACTTTTGATGTAAGTTGCGCCAAGACCATTCCATTCTGACAAACGTACTGACTGACTGACTAACTCCTCCAGTCTCTGATGAGCGACAGTGTTGTATTTTCTCGCCTCATGGAAGAGTACGGTAGCCTCCAAGAGGCTGAGAATGACGAAAACAAGAAAAGGAGGAAAGGAGATGGCGACAGCGGAGATGCCAGTCAAAAGAAATCTGACACGGGGCTTATGCAGATCGAGGAGCGTAACACGGGATCTGTGCCATGGAGTGTTTATGGAAGTTACTTGCAGTTTGCTGGGGGCATTTTATGGGCACCTGTTCTCCTGTTTCTCCTGGCGCTATTACAGGGCTCAGCAGGTAAGTCAACTTTTCTGTGTATTGGAGCATCGTTCAGATCACAACACCAAGTTGCCGATAATATCTTCCTTGGATTCTGGACTGCGAAAAGCATACAAGGCTTCCGACAGGGCGAGTACATGGCAGTGTACACTAG